AGAAATGATTAAAAATAATGTATTCTTTCAAATGAACGATTGAATTATACGCTTCAGTTATATAACCTTGGACTTTAGACGATTTGTCTAGTTGGAAACGTAGCCATAATTTTAGCAAACAATTACTTCATTCCATGAGGAATTGCAGTTAGATTTGTATCGTAGTTATGTGTTTCTCACAATTTAGATTACAATCACATAATTTGAAGTTTTAGACAAAATAAATATTTATTCATAGCTATTTTTTTCAATGCATAAGTTTATTTACAATATTCAAATATTCAAATATTATAATAATTAAATAATATTCTGAAATCTCTTGTCTTATCAATATTTTTATAAATGATAATGTTAACATTGACATTAATAATTAATATTAATTATTTATTTCTTTAAAATGTTTAAAAATATTATATATAATATTTAGAGGAATATATATATAGAGGAATATAATTATAACTTGAAATTAATAAAATAAAATAAAATAAATTAAAAATAAAAATAAAATTTAATCTTTATTACAATTATAGTCTGCATTCATTGTATTTATTTTTTAATTCATATCACGATATTATAAGATAAAGGGTTAAGTGCAATATAATGCACATCCTCTCCTTGTATTATACGAATATCGGTAATACGTCAAATACAATACAAGTTCATATCTTGATAATAATTCACACAAAAGATACACAAATAAATAATTATAGTATATAATAAAAAATATTGATTTCTATATATTTAGAAGTTTTATATTGATTTATGTTTTTTAGTTTTTTTAATTTATCATAAAATCAAATAAATGTCAGCACTTAACTTATATAATTATTTGAAACATTTTTTTTTATCTTTTATATTTTTTGAGACATAAGTTTGAGCTAAAAAAATTAAAATAAAATATCTACATAAAATCTATTTTATCTTAAATCTATTAAAGTATTATGTTAATATTACTTACTCTAGATAAATTCTAAAGAAACAAAAAAATAAATAATATAAATGCAAAAAATGAACATAATAATAATAAAAAAATATAATATAATATAAAATAAAAATAATAAAAAAATAATAATAAAAAATGCAGAAACAAATCAAAGTCGATTTAAATATAATGTTATAAATTGATATTTTTATATATTAAACATTAATAATTCATATTACTGGATATTAACTCTTAAAATTTGTTTATTTGTTAGTTAAAACAAAATATGATATCTTGTAAATATATTATATATATTATATAAATATAATATCCATTTATAATTTTTTTGAATAAAATATATTGCTACATAATTATAATTTTATATTGTTTTATATCATTAAATAAAAAAATGTAATGATTAATTACTTTATTTATCAATTTATATATAATATTTTTATATGTATTATTTATAATAATATTCGTAATATAATTTTTAAATACTTTAAGCAACGTGAAAAATTAAAATAGTCAAAACTAATGATATAATTTAAATATATTTATCATAATTTATTATCAAGAATTGTTATCATTTATTAATA